CTCCCCAGTACTACTTTGTACTGCAAAGCTTGCACAAAGCACTCCGCAGTACTACTTTGTACTACAAGGCATGCACAAACCACTTCCCAGTACTACTTTGTACTACAAAGCTTGCACAAACCACTTCCCAGTACTACTTTGTACTACAAAGCTTGCACAAAGCACTCCCCAGTACTACTTTGTACTGCAAAAGTTGCGCAGAACAACTCCCAGTACTACTTTGTACTACAAAGCTTGCACAAAGCACTTCCCAGTACTACTTTGTACTACAAAAATTGCACAAAACAACTCCTTGTACTACAAAGCTTGCACAAACTACTCCCCAGTACTACTTTGTACTACAAAGCTTGCACAAAGCCGTCCCCAGTACTACTTTGTACCACAAGAGTTGCACAAAACACTTCCCAGTACTACTTTGTACTACAAAGCTTGCACAAAGCACTCCCCAGTACTACTTTGTACTACAAGGCATGCACAAAACACTTCCCAGTACTACTTTGTACTACAAAGCTTGCACAAAGCACTGCGCAGTACTACTTTGTACTACAAAAGTTGCACAAAGGACCAGCAGTACTACTTTGTACTACAAAGCTTGCACTTTAAGTGGCATACGCCACTCGGAACGCGAAGGCTACACAGTCAGCACGCCACTCGAAGTGGCACACGCCACTCGAAGTGGCACACGCCACTCGAAGTGGCATACGCCACTCGAAGTGGCATACGCCACTCGAAGTGGCATACGCCACTCGAAGTGGCATACGCCACTTGAAGTGGCATACGCCACTCGAAGTGGCACGCCACTTGAAGTGGCATGAAGTGGCATGAAGTGGCAAAATCAAAATCCACCACATTTGCTCGTTCTCTGAAAAATTCTATAATTATTGATTTTTTCAATCCGGATTGAAAATCAAATATTGAAAAAAACAATCTCGGTTTCAAGAAGGATCGAAAAGAAAAATCAATAATTAAATTAATTAACGCAATGGAGATTGAAAAAATCAATAATTATTGTTTTTTCAATCTAGAAGTTTAATAATTGTAGTTGTTGCTGCAGGAAGGCAATATGCACATCTTTTTGCTCATACTGCAAGCACTGGCGACACAGAGGAAACGAGACATATGTATCAAAGCATGGCCTTTTTACAGGCCTCCAGCTTGCCTTTGGCCTTGTGCTTGGCCCTTTTTCAAGCGACATATCTTGCCTGGCTTTGTTTCAAGCACCTGGCTGGCCCAAGGTCATGGCATTAGCTTTGGTTGAGCCTGAGCTGCAGGCCTAGCAAATACTTTTCACAAAAGCTCTCTGACAGCTTTGTGTTCTTGTTCCATGGCTGCAAGAATGAGCCACTGTTGCCAGTCTGCCTACCCAAGATTCTTGCCTGTATGTCCAGAAAGTCTTGGGATTCTGGTATTTGCACATCTGAGCTAGATGGTATGCCCAATGAAATTTGGGTACCAGCTGGAACAAGCCGTCCTTTGCGACATGAGCCTGCAGCCAAATATAATGCTGCAAGCATCTCTGCATGGCATGCAGAGCTGCATCAGACTCATCCTCTGTCATGAAAAAGTCTGCATTTGCCACGATGTCATAGAAGATGGCCAAGTGATGAAGACATTCTGCTATGTGGCTTTCTTTCAAGCCTCCTGTCTCACTGGCCTTATCCCAGGCCACTGATGCCAGCACAGGCACCAAGTGTCTGATCTTTGCTGCCTTCCCCTTGAGCAGTGGTGCTTGGCTCCAAGGGTGGTCAACATTGCTGAATTGGGAAAGAAAAATATTGGTGGATTTTTCGCTTACTTTCATGCTTTTATACTTGTCTTGGATTTGGTTCCAAGTTTGTCTCATGTTCTTGGCTGCCATGGCTTTGTCACAAGCCTCTTGGTAGCACCAGGTATGCAGCACACTGCCACAAAGCCTCTGGCTCACTCCTAAATCCAAAGTGTGTAGAATGTCAATACAAGGCCTCCAGCCAACCACGCAGCCTGGAATTTTAGTCAACAAGGGGTGGCTACTGGAGGGGCTTTCTTTCAAGCCTCTGGAATCATGCAAGTGCCATGATGGTTGGTCTCTGAAATCCCAATGGCTTTTGTGCTTGCAGGTCCTGTTGGCATCGCAAAGCCAGCAGAAGTCTTTTCTGTTCCAATGAGGCAGTTTCAGGGTCTTGGCATACTTTTCCAAACCCCCCGGGAATTCCAAACATAAAATCGGAAACCTTGCTCTGTTGAGGGCTTGCCTGCCAAGCGGGCTAGGGTGCCTTTCACAGGTCTCCCTTTCCAATCCTCTGTGGGGTGGATGCCTTTCCACATGCTTTGAAAGCTCCATGCCAGCACATCAAAGACCTCAGTCCAAGTATCTGCTGCAGTGGCTGCCTTGGGCCATGCTGGTCAATCACATGGCTTTCTTTGTTTCAAGCCTCCCCCTTTTGTTTCTTGGCCTTGTTCCAGGCCTCCTTCTTTGCTGCCTTGGCTTTTTCCAAGCATTTTTTTTGGCTTTGTTCCAAGCCTGTTTGCCTGTGTTGCATGTCTATTAATGTGGTGAGGCAGCCTCCAAATGAAAAGATCAGCAATGAATCTGTGCTGAAGTCGACTCCTCCATGCAGCCAAAGTGGGATAGTTTTCTCTTTCTGATTCTTCCATTCTTGTGGCTGATTGTCTTTTTCCCAAGCCACAGGGCTGTCAATCAACCTTGGGTCATCTGCTTTGATCTGATCCCAGAACTCTTTGGCCTTACTCACCCCAAAGCACGCATCCATCAACTGGGGGTAAGAACATGTGAAACTCTGCCTCTGTCTGGCCAGTCTCCAAATTTTTCTGGTCCTTGGCTGGAACCTCCCAGGGATCCATTGGCAATCTTTTTCTGGAGTAGCCTCAGGAGGTCCCTTGCTACCCAGGGAAGCAGTCTCTGCCACATCCTTGTGTCTCAGGCCATCTTTGATAGCTGCTTCTGCCATGGCTTACATGCCCTGCCCCACAAATCTAGCATCCTGTTTGCTAGGCTGCTTTCAATTTCTTTCAAGCATTTGGATTGGCCTTGTTCCAGGCCACCACGTCTTCTTCTTCTCTTTTTTTTCTCTCATCTTCGACCAATTCTAGTTTCTGCTTCACACCTACCATCCGTGAGCCAAGACCCTTGCAGATGAACATGCATTAACTCCTATGCTGCCCTGCTTCCAATTGCCATGTGCTTTCAAGCCACCCCAGCCCAGCTGCTTTTTCTTTAGCTGCCAGTGTGTCGCCTGCAGAAGCTACAAAACTTTCCATGTAGAGAGTCTCTGCTGCTGTCTTGGCCTTATTTCAAGCCTTTCTTGGCTTTATTTCAATCCTCTGCTGACTGCAAGATCCTCTTGTGGGTCTTCAAAAACTTAGCAGCTTTCACAAGCAAAGCCATCCGTGCTTTTTCTTTCTTTTCATCTACCATTGCCTGCTCAACTTCCCCCATTCAATTTTTCAAGTTTCTGAAGGCTTTGTTTCAATCCTTTGTGTTCAGCATGCTTTTGGGCCATTGCTCTAGTAGTCTTAATTTCTCCTGCCAACAAGGACACCATCTTCCTGGCTTCGCCCATGTCACAGGAAGACAAATTATCCACATTTTTGTCGAATTCCTGCAACTTCTCTTCAACTTTCTTGGCCGTGTTACAGGCCTCTGAAGGTTTGGCCTTGTCACAGGCCTCGGTCCTGGCCTTTGAAAGTTTGGCCTCTTCACAGGCCTCTGAAGGCTTCTGGGTTTTGCCAGGGGCCTTTGAAGGTTTGGCCTTTTCACAGGCCTCTGGAGATGCATCCTCAACTCTGCCCCTCCTTCCCGGTGCACTACTGCCATCCACACCCAGCCAGGAAGACTTCCATGTCATCTTCTGACTCATGCTGTGGGGCTGCTTCCAGATCCTCTGACTCTGTCAGCTGCCAGTCTTCCATGCAGGCATTCTTTGGCTTTGTTCCAAGCCAAGCAGCATCGAAGAATTCTTCATCAGAAGCCTGGACAGATTTCAAGGCTCTTGCCACCTTTTCTCCCTGCTCTTCTGTTGCCACTCCACTAGAGCAGCCAGTCATTGCTTGGTTTCCGCTCCTGCTCATTTTTATCTCTTCTTCTACCTTCAAAAACTGCCATAGCTTCAGGCCCTTTTTCCACGCCTCTTCGGCTTTCAGTCTTTGGATTGCTTCATCCTTGCCATGCTCATCTGTTTTTTGCTTCCAAGATACCCAGGCAGTGGTTTTTGTGCTTTCCCAGCCCTGCTGCACAGTATGCTTGAGGTTGACCAGGCTTTTTTTCAAGCCTCCTTTGATGAAGGCCAGTAGCATGCTTTGCTTTTTGCTGTTTGAACCTGTGCCTTGTAGTGATTTCCATTTTGCAGCCGTGCTCGGTGACCTATGGCTTTCCATCATCTTGAACAAGCCTTGCCTTTGCTTGTGGGTAAACATGGCAAGGAATGCCTGTTCTGTTATCTGGCCTTCTTTCAGGCCTCTCACAGCATTCATGTAAGACTCATGCCTGAGCAGCTGTCCAGCTGTCAATTCAGCAAAGTCTTCTGCCTTAGCATCATTCTCTCCCTGGTCCTGGCCAGGCTGGTTTTCTGGCTTTGCTTCGGGCCTCTCTTTTTCCTTCTCTGTCTGGTCTTTGTCAAGGCCAGTCTTCCTCTTCTTGGCTGTTTCTCCACATTTTTCCATCTTAGCTGCTGGTCTTTTGGCCACCTTTTGTGAGGAGCTTGCTTGATCACTTTCTTTCTGTTTCTTGGGTTGCTCTTGAATTTCTTTGGCTTTCTTCTCTGGTGGTGTTTTTTTTGCCATTGCTTAGCTTTTTTGCAAGCCTCTTCTGCTTCCCTGCTGGCTTTTTTCCAAGCCACTTCTGCTTCTTTTCTTGCTGTGTCTCAAGTTTGGCATCTTTGCCTGCTGGCTTTGCTTCAAGCTTCTTCTGCTTCTTTTCTGGCCTTGTCTCAAGTTCCTCGTCTTTGCCTGCTGGCTTTGTTTCAAGCCCCTCCTGCTTCTTCTCTGGCTTTGCCTCAAGTTTGTCATTCATCTTTGCCTGCTGGCCTAGTTTTAAGCCCCTCCTGCTGCTCTTCTGGCTGTGCCTCAAGCCTCTCATTCTTGCCTGCTGGCCTTGTTTCAAGCTCCTCCCTTTCTGCCCTTGGCTCAAGCTTCACATGTTCTTCCTTTCCTTCCACCCCATCCTGGCTCCCCTTTGGTTGGAAGGCTTGTGAAGCTTCTGCATCCACCATCTCATCTGTGGTCTGAACTTCCTCCCCAGCAGCTTCTGCAAAGCATTGGCCTCTGAAAGGGTTGCCATCCCGTCGCTTCCTGGCAATGCCTGGCTTTCTTCCAAGCCACTCCTGGCAGCATAATATTTCTGGAGGGAAACATAATGTTTTCTCCAGTTTTCTCTTCTTTCCTGATTGCTTGGATAAGTTTTCCTATCTTCAGAACCCCATGGAAATGCTACCTCTGCTTCAGCTGCTACTGGTGCAGCTGCAGCCTTTTCACTTGCTTCTTCTGCTGCAGCTGGCTTCTTCATGGCCTTGTTTCAGGCCCCTCCTTAGAAATGGTTTTCAAAAAGCTTATTTAACAACTCGAGCTTGCACAAACGGCTGCAGGAACACACTTTGCAAAGCAGTTGACATGCATTGTGGTACAGTTGAACAGCTGAAAAACTATCAAAACCTCAAGCAAAGCTTAGAACTCAAAAGCTATTCTGTGAAGGGAATTGCCTTCACAAAATGGATTCTGTGAAGGGAGCTGCCTTCACAAAATGGATTCTGTGAAGGGAGCTGCCTTCACAAAATGGATTCTGTGAAGGGAGCTGCCTTCACAAAATGGATTCTGTGAAGGGAGCTGCCTTCACAGAAGGGGTTTTGTGAAGGGAGCTGCCTTCACAAAATGGATTCTGTGAAGTCTGTGAAGGGAGCTGCCTTCACAAAATGGATTCTGTGAAGGGAGCTGCCTTCACAAAATGGATTCTTTGAAGGGGGTTCACAAAATGGATTCTGTGAAGGGAGCCGCCTTCACAAAATGGATTCTGTGAAGGGAGCTGCCTTCACAAAAGGGATTCTGTGAAGGGAGCTGCCTTCACAAAAGGGATTATGTCAAGGAGCTGCCTTCACCTTAAGGGATTCTGTGAAGGGCCCGCCTTCACAAAAGGGCTGCCTTCACAAAATGGATTCTGTGAAGGAGCTGCCTTCACAAAATGGATTCTGTGAAGGGAGCTGCTGCCTTCACAAAAGGGATTCTGTGAAGGGAGCTGCCTTCACAAAATGGATTCTGTGAAGGGAGCTGCCTTCACAAAAGGATTCTGTGAAGGGAGCTGCCTTCACAAAATGGATTCTGTGAAGGGGCTGCCTTCACAAAATGGATTCTGTGAAGGGAGCTGCCTTCGGAGTGTGTGTGACGGGGAGGAGGGACGGGAGGACGGGGGAAGAAGAAGGCGGAGCGGATACAGAACTAAAAACAAAAACCCCACACGTCAATGTGGGGAAAAAATACCTCACCCTATGCTCCCTGACCCAGAACACAACCACTTTCAAGCATCCATTTTCCTTCTTCGGTTTCGTGCTGTAGAGCTTTGTTTCAAAGCTTGGCAGGGTCTTGGCAAGGTACTTCGGACATCTCTTTTGCGCCTGGCTTTATTTCAAGCCTCAACTTCTGTGCTGGGCAAGCATGTCATTTCTCAGCTCCACCAGCTTTGCTTTTGTCATGCCCTGCGTTCCACAATGTGGAAGGAGGGCATCGATAACAGCACCATGTCCTCCTGGGTACTGAGCTGCTTGCTTCTCAGTACAAGCCACCAGGAGAATCCATTTGTCACCCCACCACCCTTGGATATACCCCTGTTTGGTATATTTTCCTGCTTTCACCTTGAGCCATCCAGAAAACTCTGGCCTTGTTTCAGGCCCCAGCTCTTGCATTTTTTGATCTACTGCAGATGTCGAGTGGGATGCTGGCCTCTTCAGTGCTGGCCTTGTTTCAAGCCTCTGCCCTGCCATGGCAGCTGCTGGTCTTTTGGCAAGCTTTTTGCCCATGGCAGGCCTCTTCTTGACCTGGTTGGCTTTCTTTTCTTTTGTTGGTGGGCTCTTGGTGGCTAGCCTCTCTGCTGCTTCTGCAGCTTGCTGCTCCAAGGCTTCTTTGTGAGACTGGGCTCTCTTGCTGAGGAATGGCAGCCTGGCCGAATCTGGTGAATGGCCTTGTTTCAAGCCCCTTGCCCCAGCTGATTTGGGTGATGAGGGGCCTTGTTTCAAACATCTTGCCGTCGGTGTTTTGGGTGATCTTCTGCCTTTCAAGGCAGTGGGTGGTGACTGGCCTTAGATTCCTTAGATGCTTCAGGTGTTTTCAAAATCTTTGGGAATCCTTTCGAATCCACGGACACTTCAGAATTCACATCATCTTCATCTCCAAGCCCAGAATTGTCAACTTTCATGTCAGTGGCCTTGTCACAAGCCTCATTTTGTTCTTCCATGGCTTTTTTGCAAGGATCCCCAAGCTCCTTGGCACTGCTGGCATTTTTCCATACCTCCCCATGCCCTGGCTCCAGTGCCAGCAAGTCTCCAAGCCTCTCGGCATCTGCCTCACTAGCTTACTGTAGACATTGCCTCCTTCTCAGAATTATTTTTCAGCTTCCGCCAATGCTTAAAAATGGTGACTATCTTGCTGCTAATGGTACTTGTCCAAACATTGTTCCTCATGTCAGTTTCATTTAATGTAGTGAACCTGAGTGCTTGCTTCTTCAATGGGAGGCCTTTGGGAATGCCATCGCGCAGTGGCAAGATTCAGACCATCAAGTTTAAGCAAGAGTTGATGCTACATAGGTGGCTTGTTTCGCTTCAGAAATAGCCAAACTGCTTTCTGACCAAAATTATGTAGGTTCTAAATCTTTCATGGTCCTTCACCCGTTAACGTGAAAGACTTGCAGCGGGGTTGACCTAGCTCCTTGCTTAAGCCAAAAGTTTGGCTAGAAACAAAGGTTTAGTCAGTAACAACAAGGTTCTGATTACTGAGCGCTTGGTTTCAAGTTCCATTGTGAAAAAAGACATGGACCCGGTGCAGCTGGGAAGACATTCAATACTTCACATACCACCATACCCGATACACACATCAGCAAATAAGCGAAGCCAAGAAGTGGTCAAAAGACCCAACTTTGGTCAGTAATACAGAGGTCCCAAATCCCGAGCAAACTGTCTCAAGCTTTTGTATCAAAAACATGGCTACCTGATGTGACTCACGCGCCCGAAAAAAATGATTTACTCACATGCACATGAATTGGTGGGGCATGTGCTAATTTTCTTTGAACAACTTTTGGCTCAATCCCGCACTAGGAGCTTTTATGTGAGCCGTATCAGCCTAATCTTGCACACACACACACCAAATTTCAACCCTTATAGGAAGTTTTTTTACAATGTTTAATGGTTTGCTGAAAAGCTCTGGGTAACCGAGCTTCAGAAGATCTCTCTTTAAGCTCTCCTCAGAATGCATTTGCCTGAGGTTTCTTGCCGCAACTCTTGCCGCGATATTTGAGCGAGATCTTGAATAATCTTCTGCAGAGGTTTATCGAGGAGATTCGTTTTCAGATCGGCTTTGTTTCTCTGTTATCTTAGATAAGCAAGCCCTAACTCTGTTGAGGAGTGAAGTTTTATGGGGAAGGTCTGTCGCGTTGTCGCGCGATCTCTTGGGAAAGTCTTGGGAAAGTCATGCAGATGAAGTCTGTGTGTGCGAAATCTCAGATGTCTTTAAGATACAATGAAAATATAGTCAGTTGAAAGCTTGTCAGGACCTCGGCCCGGGAGAACGAGCAATCTGGCAAAATCAAGGTATAAGAGTTTTGAAAGGCTGACGGCAAACTCATGTTTAAGACTTTCGTCAATAAACTTTGTTTGAGGCATTGCATTCAAAACAGGCTGCTGGAGAGGCCTAATAAAGCTTCAAATTCAGCCATTTTGGTGTGCCTTGCAAGCGGCTGTCAAATTTCAAAACAAGCGGGGCGCTGAAGATTGAAAAACAGAAAGTGGGTTTTTTCGCGAGACTAGGGCGCCGTCCGGAGAAATACCAAAACCCAGTCACCTCCACCGTTTTCATTACAAACCGGTGTTTTTTCTTCTTGCAAGGTCATCTTGGCCCATGCTATTGACATGGCCCTGCTTTAACCCTCACAATCCATGCGCTCAAAATTATGGGGGGTCCAGCCTGCCCAGCCGACTAAAAGGAGCCCTGGGGAAGGCAGTATGCCCTGGATAATCCGGGTCTCTTTCTCCACCGCAACCTATACCTACCTCCTGTGAGCCCTTGTGAAAGCATTTCACATGACATAGATTTTTGGCCTGCTGCAGACCTCGTCATGGGGGAAGTGGTTCTCAAACATATTGATACTTCTGAAATTGTGGAGCGTAGCAGCAATTTCAGGAGTCTAGCTGAGTCTAGCTGTTGGTTTTTCAACGATGGATGATTGGGAACACGTTGCAAACAAGCTTGTCTACTCGCTGCTGCCGATTACCGGCATGTTTTTCCCAAACGATGAATACAGTCTGATTCATAGAATGTGGTTATGAGTCAGTCTCAGTCTGAGGGAGCAACGATGAATCTTAGACCGAACTTAGACCCTAGAATTTTACCAGGATTCTATAGTGCAATCAGAACACAAAGTTCTATTGACTATTCCAAGCAACTGACTGTTTTTTGGCGTTTTCAAATTTTCAAATCAACTTCAACATTCCCAATGAGGTTCACACAGTTCAGAGCCTTCTTAGCAGTAACCACCTCGCTCGCTCACCATGACCATATGTCTACATGGTTGGCCCACAATACCCTTATATACCCAGTTTTTACCCTATATGTTGTGTCACTGCTGAAGCGTTCCCTCGCTTGTCGCTCATGGATATTTTGTCGGTGCGGAAAGAGCTGGAAAAGGTTTATTCTTTGGTTACGACACATGGAAGCACTGCAGAGGCGGGTTTTGGCAGTTCCGCATCAGATTCTCAGATACTTTGATATGGTCAAGCGGTCAAGATGTTCAAGTCATCAGGGTCCCTATTTGGACACACGGCTATTTCGGGGTTGAGAAATTGAGAACTTTCAGACCAGCCATGTCTAGGTGGTTTGAGCATCTGTTTTCAAGCATGGGATGATGTGATGCTCCCTAATTTCACACAAAGCTTTACTGGTGCGTAGGTGTGGGAACTAGAGGGCTACCCATAATGAAACATGTATACTGGCTTGTGACGGCTTGTGGTTTGGTTTTTTTCCACCAGTTATTGGCGATGATGATCATCCCATTCCCATTTAACTATAATACTGTTGAGATGGGATGAAACGACCCACCAACCAGATTTATTATCATACCATTCAATTCAACCATTCCCTTGAGTGTTTCGTCAAGAGAGCTGGTGATGAGTGATGAGTGATGAGTCATGAATCTGAGTGCGCTGCACAGGTGGCTGCATATGCAAATGCGATCGTCGGCCTGGATACTTTGGCTGGCAAAGGCAGCCAGTTGATCCTTGGTGGCAGATTCATGGAAGGTTATGGTGGTTATGGGCCAGCCAGTGATGTTTTGGGACTTTAAATGAGCCATAAGCAGATAGCATTGATAGCAATGCTATGATAGCAATGGTTCAATGATCAATGATATATACGTACAAGTACAAGGCTACAGTTAGGGCCTGGAGCCCCGACCAGGGTTACCGTGCTTTATCAGTTTTGCTGCAGGAATCCATTTGCCAAAAATTGCCGGGCATTTAGTCACCCAGTGTTTCTGGCCGCATTCTTCAAACAGACCGAAGTTCGAAGCTGAAGATCTCATTTTATTTCCCATGATTTTTTCTTGTAAGCGTTCCTCCGCAATTCATCAAGTCATTGTCCCAGGTCCCAGAGGAAGGGCATAGGGCTAGGGCTCTTTGGACTTGGACCTCCCAAATACCACCAAACCCCAAAAGCGAATGTCAAATTTGTTCTGTTAGTGGCCCACTTGATGAGTGATGAATCACAAATGCATCTCAGATTGGGGCTCAGACTTCTGTCGTATTTGTTTCAATGTTTCAAGTTTCAAGATCTTTGACCTCAAGCTTGGCTTGTGGCTGAAACTGTCCAACCATTTTCTTTCACAAAAAAAACGCAGAGATGATCACATCACACTGATCATCACGCATCACACAGCCTGCTTTTTCCTCAAAGATTTAAAGACTCAGAGACTCAGAGACAGTGACAGAGACACAGTGACAGAGACTGAGACTGATTATTTTTTGGGGGGTTCTGTGACTTCTGTGAAGTTCTGTCAGAGTTTCTATCTGCTTTTGATTCAAGACTAGACTAGGCTTTTGACTTTGATCGACAATGACAAACCGACGACGAGATTAGATAGATCATGAGATACACGTCATGTGAGTCATGTGATGTGATATTTGAAAAAAAGATGTATATGATGAATGGGGACGAGGACGAGGATTGAGATCGATGGGAAAGAGATTAGATAGATGAGGAGATATGATAGATGAGGACAATGGGATTCAGGCAAGAAAAAGATAAGAAAGATTTGATGAGATAGATGAGAAAGATGGGAAAGATGAGGAGATAGATGAGATAGATGCACTGAAGGAGATATATGATAGATGAGGTAGATGAGAACGATGAGCTAGAAGATAAGAATTGAGACCGATGAGAAAATGCAATGGGATAGATTCTAGATAGATGAGAAAAAAGAGTTAAAAGATAATGAGAATAAGAATGATGAGAACCAATGAGAATGATGAGAAAGATGTGATGTGATGTGATGAGATAGGAAGATAGATGAGATTGATGGATGTGATGAGATAGATGAGATATTTGAGTTTGGGCCATGGGTGTTTGTCCAAGGACGGCCTGTGGTGCAACAGCCCGGGTGCGGATGTATGACTTTGCATCCTTGTTCAAAGCCTTCAAGTTCTCGCTGACCTTGCGGAACGCTTCGAAGAGCCCTTGTTTGCATGGTGGTGGTGGTGCCTGGAATTTTGAAATTTGATGATCTGAATCTGACTATCTGACATTGAGAAACATTATGCACTTTTCTGCGCAGCGGATAAGGATGGATAAGGCATTATCTTGCACACCTCAAACCAATCGTGTCTTTATTTGCTGAGAATGCGCAGCTTTGTACACACGATGTCGCGTTGTGCCGTCTCCTCTCACGCCCCTCCTGTCCTCCGCTGCTCCGCGTCCCTTACGGCGATGCGCTGTACAACCTTATGTGCGCACGTCTGCGTATAACCGCTTATGCTTTGCAGACTGCAAGCGCTGCAGGTCGACAAAATAATCTTAGGGCCCGGGGCGGGAGTCACACACACACACACACCAGTGTTGATGCGTTCTGTACTTGCACATCGTTATTGATCATTAGTGCATCATGTCACCTTTTGAAGCAGAAATTCAAATGTATAATGCAAAGCGGCAATCTCATCCAAGTGACAGATGTGGATGTGTATGGCATGGGTTGTGATATCCATGACGCCTGAAACTGCAGCGGCGGTAGGCGGTAGCACCAATAAATGATTCTAGCCAAAAGTGACAGTAACTGGCCACTGGCCGATATTGCCTTAATTCGTCCTCTCTCCAGGAGGCAACACACTATCTTTCTTCAATGGTTTGCCGAAGGCGCCAGAGTGACAAGCCACAAGGATGTTGTGCGGATTATTTGACCCCATGATCATGATCAGCCAGGGCCCCTGACTCCTGACTTTACAAATTGGTGTTTTAAGTGACATGATAACTGCAAGCCAGGAATTATGGACACTACATGAACTTAATCAAAACTGTTGAATCGAGAGCGTTTTGAAATAGTTTTGATTTGATGTAAGAGTGACAGCAACTGGCCACTGGCCGATATTGCCTTAATTCGTCCTCTCTCCAGGAGACAACACACTATCTATTTTCAATGGTTTGCCAAAGGCGCCAGAGTGACAAGCCACAAGGATGTTGTGCGGAATATTTGACCCCATGATCATGATCAGCCAGGGCCCCTGACTCCTGACTTTACAAATTGGCGTTTTAAGTGACATGATAACTGCAAGCCAGGAATTAAGGACACTTCATGAACTTCAGGCTGTTGAATCGAGAGCGTTTTGAAATAGTTTCGATTTGATTTTACATATCATATTGACATGTTGTGATACATTCTTGATTCACATATTTCTTGAACTGTTACCACAATCTTTGAAATCGGAAATTACTATTGGTTAGTTCTTAGTTCTCATAAGATCTTATGATGTCAATTGCCCATACATGAGAAATGCCAACTTTTCATAGAACATTTGAATCATATGAATCATCACGTGACATTACATCAATGTATTTGCAGACATTATCGTGAATGGTGAGCCGATGAGTGTTGTATTTTTTCTATTTGTGTTACGGCATGTTTGTGCAGGGAATTCATCATAGTCAGGGGAGATTCGTACATATATTTGCAAGATTCCATCAAACATGTGAAATAGTGTATGATGTTTCAAACGGAGCTGTGAAAAACAACAAAACATCAAAGATCAAGGATGTAAAGCCATTCTTCTTGACCCAAACTGTGAAACATGTAGCAACTTTTTGCCGGCTCAAAAATGAGGAGGGTCCAACGTGAAAAAATGGTTTTGTTTTTTTTACACAGGTTTTGTGTAAGGGATTTGTCGGGATTTGTCGGGAATCTTTGCATGTTGTTTTTTCACGTGTTTGCTCGTATAATTTGGCTTAGTTCTTAAGGTGAATCAACATGGTGAAATCTTGTCAAAAGTTGTCAAATTGACCCAAACCAACATGGAAAACATGTTGATTCACCTTAAGAACAAGCCAAATTATACGAGCAAACACGTGAAAAAACAACATGCAAAGATTCCCGACAAATCCCGACAAATCCCTTACACAAAACCTGTGTAAAAAAAACAAAACCATTTTTTCACGTTGGACCCTCCTCATTTTTGAGCCGGCAAAAAGTTGCTACATGTTTCACAGTTTGGGTCAAGAAGAATGGCTTTACATCCTTGATCTTTGATGTTTTGTTGTTTTTCACAGCTCCGTTTGAAACATCATACACTATTTCACATGTTTGATGGAATCTTGCAAATATATGTACGAATCTCCCCTGACTATGATGAATTCCCTGCACAAACATGCCGTAATACAAATAGAAAAAATACAACACTCATCGGCTCACCATTCACTAATGTCTGCAAATACATTGATGTAATGTCACATGATGATTCATATGATTCAAATGTTCTATGAAAAGTTGGCATTTCTCATGTATGGGCAATTGACATCATAAGATCTTATGAGAACTAAGAACTAACCAATAGTAATTTCCGATTTCAAAGATTGTGGTAACAGTTCCAGAAATATGTGAATCAAGAATGTATCACAACATGTCAATATGTAAAATCAAATCGAAACTATTTCAAAACGCTCTCGATTCAACAGTTTTGATTAAGTTCATGAAGTGTCCTTAATTCCTGGCTTGCAGTTATCATGTCACTTAAAACACCAATTTGTAAAGTCAGGAGTCAGGGGCCCTGGCTGATCATGATCATGGGGTCAAATAATCCGCACAACATCCTTGTGGCTTGTCACTCTGGCGCCTTCGGCAAACCATTGAAGATAGATAGCGTGTTGTCTCCTGGAGAGAGGACGAATTAAGGCAATATCGGCCAGTGGCCAGTTGCTGTCACTCTTACATCAAATCAAAACTATTTCAAAACGCTCTCGATTCAACAGTTTTGATTAAGTTCATGAAGTGTCCATAATTCCTGGCTTGCAGTTATCATGTCACTTAAAACACCAATTTGTAAAGTCAGGAGTCAGGGGCCCTGGCTGATCATGATCATGGGGTCAAATAATCCGCACAACATCCTTGTGGCTTGTCACTCTGGCGCCTTCGGCAAACCATTGAAGAAAGATAGTGTGTTGTCTCCTGGAGAGAGGACGAATTAAGGCAATATCGGCCAGTGGCCAGTTACTGTCACTTTTGGCTAGAATCATTTATTGGTGCTACCGCCTACCGCCGCTGCAGTTTCAGGCGTCATGGATATCACAACCCATGCCATACACATCCACATCTGTCACTTGGATGAGATTGCCGCTTTGCATTATACATTTGAATTTCTGCTTCAAAAGGTGACATGATGCACTAATGATCAATAATGATGTGCAAGTACAGAACGCATCAACACTGGTGTGTGTGTGTGTGACTCCCGCCCCGGGCCCTAAGATTATTTTGTCGACCTGCAGTGCTTGCAGTCTGCAAAGCATAAGCGGTTATACGCAGACGTGCGCACATAAGGTTGTACAGCGCATCGCCGTAAGGGACGCGGAGCAGCGGAGGACAGGAGGGGCGTGAGAGGAGACGGCACAACGCGACATCGTGTGTACAAAGCTGCGCATTCTCAGCAAATAAAGACACGATTGGTTTGAGGTGTGCAAGATAATGCCTTATCCGCTGCGCAGAAAAGTGCATAATGTTTCTCAATGTCAGATAGTCAGATTCAGATCATCAAATTTCAAAATTCCAGGCACCACCACCACCACCATGCAAACAAGGGCTCTTCGAAGCGTTCCGCAAGGTCAGCGAGAACTTGAAGGCTTTGAACAAGGATGCAAAGTCATACATCCGCACCCGGGCTGTTGCACCACAGGCCGTCCTTGGACAAACACCCATGGCCCAAACTCATAAATCTCATCTATCTCATCACATCCATCAATCTCATCTATCTTTCTATCTCATCACATCACATCACATCTTTCTCATCATTCTCATTGGTTCTCATCATTCTTATTCTCATTATCGTTTAACTCTTTTTTCTCATCTATCTAGAATCTATCCCATTGCATTTTCTCATCGGTCTCAATTCTTATCTTCTAGCTCATCGTTCTCATCTACCTCATCTATCATATATCTCCTTCAGTGCATCTATCTCATCTATCCCCTCATCTTTCCCATCTTTCTCATCTATCTCATCACATCTTTCTTATCTTTTTCTTGCCTGAATCCCATTGTCCTCATCTATCTTATCTCCTCATCTATCTCTTTCCCATCGATCTCAATCCTCGTCCTCGTCCCCATTCATCATATACATCTTTTTTTCAAATATCACATCACATGACTCACATGACGTGTATCTCATGATCTATCTAATCTCGTCGTCGGTTTGTCATTGTCGATCAAAGTCAAAAGCCTAGTCTAGTCTTGAATCAAAAGCAGATAGAAACTCTGACAGAACTTCACAGAAGTCACAGAACCCCCAAAAAATAATCAGTCTCAGTCTCTGTCACTGTGTCTCTGTCACTGTCTCTGAGTCTCTGAGTCTCTGAGTCTCTAAATCTTTGAGGAAAAAGCAGGCTGTGTGATGTGTGATGATCAGTGTGATGTGATCATCTCTGCGTTTTTTTTTTGTGAAAGAAAATGGTTGGACAGTTTCAGCCACAAGCCAAGCTTGAGGTCAAAGATCTTGAAACTTGAAACATTGAAACAAATAGGACAGAAGTCTGAGCCCCAATCTGAGATGCATTTGTGATTCATCACTCATCAAGTGGGCCACTAACAGAACAAATTTGACATTCGCTTTTGGGGTTTGGTGGTATTTGGGAGGTCCAAGTCCAAAGAGCCCTAGCCCTATGCCCTTCCTCTGGGACCTGGGACAATGACTTGATGAATTGCGGAGGAACGCTTACAAGAAAAAATCATGGGAAATAAAATGAGATCTTCAGCTTCGGTCTGTTTGAAGAATGCGGCCAGAAACACTGGGTGACTAAATGCCCGGCAATTTTTGGCAAATGGATTCCTGCAGCAAAACTGATAAAGCACGGTAACCCTGGTCGGGGCTCCAGGCCCTAACTGTAGCCTTGTACTTGTACGTATATATCATTGATCATTGAACCATTGCTATCATAGCATTGCTATCAATGCTATCTGCTTATGGCTCATTTAAAGTCCCAAAACATCACTGGCTGGCCCATAACCACCATAACCTTCCATGAATCTGCCACCAAGGATCAACTGGCTGCCTTTGCCAGCCAAAGTATCCAGGCCGACGATCGCATTTGCATACGCAGCCACCTGTGCAGCGCACTCAGATTCATGACTCATCACTCATCACTCATCACCAGCTCTCTTGACGAAACACTCAAGGGAATGGTTGAATTGAATGGTATCTGGTTGGTGGGTCGTTTCATCCCATCTCAACAGTATTATAGTTAAATGGGAATGGGATGATCATCATCCCCAATAACTGGTGGAAAAAAAAACCAAACCACAAGCCGTCACAAGCCAGTATACATGTTTCATTCTGGGTAGCCCTCTAGTTCCCACACCTACGCACCAGTAAAGCTTTGTGTGAAATTAGGGAGCATCACATCATCCCATGCTTGAAAACAGATGCTCAAACCACCTAGACATGGCTGGTCTGAAAGTTCTCAATTTCTCAACCCCGAAATAGCCGTGTGTCCAAATAGGGACCCTGATGACTTGAACATCTTGACCGTTTGACCATATCAAAGTATCTGAGAATCTGATGCGGAACTGCCAAAACCCGCCTCTGCAGTGCTTCCATGTGTCGTAACCAAAGAATAAAGCTTTTCCAGCTCTTTCCGCACCGACAAAATATCCATGAGCGACAAGCGAGGGAACGCTTCAGCAGTGACACAACATATAGGGTAAAAACTGGGTATATAAGGGTATTGTGGGCCAACCATGTAGACATATGGTCATGGTGAGCGAGCGAGGTGGTTACTGCTAAGAAGGCTCTGAACTGTGTGAACCTCATTGGGAATGTTGAAGTTGATTTGAAAATTTGAAAACGCCAAAAAACAGTCAGTTGCTTGGAATAGTCAATAGAACTTTGTGTTCTGATTGCACTATAGAATCCTGGTAAAATTCTAGGGTCTAAGTTCGGTCTAAGATTCATCGTTGCTCCCTCAGACTGAGACTGACTCATAACCACATTCTATGAATCAGACTGTATTCATCGTTTGGGAAAAACATGCCGGTAATCGGCAGCAGCGAGTAGACAAGCTTGTTTGCAACGTGTTCCCAATCATCCATCGTTGAAAAACCAACAGCTAGACTCAGCTAGACTCCTGAAATTGCTGCTACGCTCCACAATTTCAGAAGTATCAATATGTTTGAGAACCACTTCCCCCATGACGAGGTCTGCAGCAGGCCAAAAATCTATGTCATGTGAAATGCTTTCACAAGGGCTCACAGGAGGTAGGTATAGGTTGCGGTGGAGAAAGAGACCCGGATTATCCAGGGCATACTGCCTTCCCCAGGGCTCCTTTTAGTCGGCTGGGCAGGCTGGACCCCCCATAATTTTGAGCGCATGGATTGTGAGGGTTAAAGCAGGGCCATGTCAATAGCATGGGCCAAGATGACCTTGCAAGAAGAAAAAACACCGGTTTGTAATGAAAACGGTGGAGGTGACTGGGTTTTGGTATTTCTCCGGACGGCGCCCTAGTCTCGCGAAAAAACCCACTTTCTGTTTTTCAATCTTCAGCGCCCCGCTTGTTTTGAAATTTGACCGCCGCTTGCAAGGCACACCAAAATGGCTGAATTTGAAGCTTTATTAGGCCTCTCCAGCAGCCTGTTTTGAATGCAATCCCTCAAACAAAGTTTATTGACGAAAGTCTTAAACATGAGTTTGCCGTCAGCCTTTCAAAACTCTTATACCTTGATTTTGCCAGATTGCTCGTTCTCCCGGGCCGAGGTCCTGACAAGCTTTCAACTGACTATATTTTCATTGTATCTTAAAGACATCTGAGATTTCGCACACACAGACTTCATCTGCATGACTTTCCCAAGACTTTCCCAAGAGATCGCGCGACAACGCGACAGACCTTCCCCATAAAACTTCACTCCTCAACAGAGTTAGGGCTTGCTTATCTAAGATAACAGAGAAACAAAGCCGATCTGAAAACGAATCTCCTCGATAAACCTCTGTAGAAGATTATTCAAGATCTCGCTCAAATATCGCGGCAAGAGTTGCGGCAAGAAACCTCAGGCAAATGCATTCTGAGGAGAGCTTAAAGAGAGATCTTCTGAAGAGAACTCGGTTACCCAGAGCTTTTCAGCAAACCATTAAACATTGTAAAAAAAACTTCCTATAAGGGTTGAAATTTGGTGTGTGTGTGTGTGCAAGATTAGGCTGATACGGCTCACATAAAAGCTCCTAGTGCGGGATTGAGCCAAAAGTTGTTCAAAGAAAATTAGCACATGCCCCACCAATTCATGTGCATGTGAGTAAATCATTTTTTTCGGGCGCGTGAGTCACATCAGGTAGCCATGTTTTTGATACAAAAGCTTGAGACAGTTTGCTCGGGATTTGGGACCTCTGTATTACTGACCAAAGTTGGGTCTTTTGACCACTTCTTGGCTTCGCTTATTTGCTGATGTGTGTATCGGGTATGGTGGTATGTGAAGTATTGAATGTCTTCCCAGCTGCACCGGGTCCATGTCTTTTTTCACAATGGAACTTGAAACCAAGCGCTCAGTAATCAGAACCTTGTTGTTACTGACTAAACCTTTGTTTCTAGCCAAACTTTTGGCTTAAGCAAGGAGCTAGGTCAACCCCGCTGCAAGTCTTTCACGTTAACGGGTGAAGGACCATGAAAGATTTAGAACCTACATAATTTTGGTCAGAAAGCAGTTTGGCTATTTCTGAAGCGAAACAAGCCACCTATGTAGCATCAACTCTTGCTTAAACTTGATGGTCTGAATCTTGCCACTGCGCGATGGCATTCCCAAAGGCCTCCCATTGAAGAAGCAAGCACTCAGGTTCACTACATTAAATGAAACTGACATGAGGAACAATGTTTGGACAAGTACCATTAGCAGCAAGATAGTCACCATTTTTAAGCATTGGCGGAAGCTGAAAAATAATTCTGAGAAGGAGGCAATGTCTACAGTAAGCTAGTGAGGCAGATGCCGAGAGGCTTGGAGACTTGCTGGCACTGGAGCCAGGGCATGGGGAGGTATGGAAAAATGCCAGCAGTGCCAAGGAGCTTGAGGATCCTTGCAAAAAAGCCATGGAAGAACAAAATGAGGCTTGTGACAAGGCCACTGACATGAAAGTTGACAATTCTGGGCTTGGAGATGAAGATGATGTGAGTTCTGAAGTGTCCGTGGATTCGAAAGGATTCCCAAAGATTTTGAAAACACCTGAAGCATCTAAGGAATCTAAGGCCAGTCACCACCCACTGCCTTGAAAGGCAGAAGATCACCCAAAACACCGAAGGCAAGAGGCTTGAAACAAGGCCCCTCATCACCCAAATCAGCTGGGGCAAGGGGCTTGAAACAAGGCCATTCACCAGATTCGGCCAGGCTGCCATTCCTCAGCAAGAGAGCCCAGTCTCACAAAGAAGCCTTGGAGCAGCAAGCTGCAGAAGCAGCAGAGAGGCTAGCCACCAAGAGCCCACCAACAAAAGAAAAGAAAGCCAACCAGGTCAAGAAGAGGCCTGCCATGGGCAAAAAGCTTGCCAAAAGACCAGCAGCTGCCATGGCAGGGCAGAGGCTTGAAACAAGGCCAGCACTGAAGAGGCCAGCATCCCACTCGACATCTGCAGTAGATCAAAAAATGCAAGAGCTGGGGCCTGAAACAAGGCCAGAGTTTTCTGGATGGCTCAAGGTGAAAGCAGGAAAATATACCAAACAGGGGTATATCCAAGGGTGGTGGGGTGACAAATGGATTCTCCTGGTAGCTTGTACTGAGAAGCAAGCAGCTCAGTACCCAGGAGGACATGGTGCTGTCATCGATGCCCTCCTTCCACATTGTGGAACGCAGGGCATGACAAAAGCAAAGCTGGTGGAGCTGAGAAATGACATGCTTGCCCAGCACAGAAGTTGAGGCTTGAAATAAAGCCAGGCACAAAAGAGATGTCCGAAGTACCTTGCCAAGACCCTGCCAAGCTTTGAAACAAAGCTCTACAGCACGAAACCGAAGAAGGAAAACGGATGCTTGAAAGTGGTTGTGTTCTGGGTCAGGGAGCATAGGGTGAGGTATTTTTTCCCCACATTGACGTGTGGGGTTTTTGTTTTTAGTTCTGTATCCGCTCCGCCTTCTTCTTCCCCCGTCCTCCCGTCCCTCCTCCCCGTCACACACACTCCGAAGGCAGCTCCCTTCACAGAATCCATTTAGTGAAGGCAGCTCCCTTCACAGAATCCATTTTGTGAAGGCAGCTCCCTTCACAGAATCCCTTTTGTGAAGGCAGCTCCCTTCACAGAATCCATTTTGTGAAGGTAGCTCCCTTCACAGAATCCATTTTGTGAAGGCAGCTCCCTTCACAGAATCCATTTTGTGAAGGCAGCTCCCTTCACAGAATCCATTTTGTGAAGGCAGCTCCCTTCACAGAATCCATTTTGTGAAGGCAGCTCCCTTCACAGAATCCATTTTGTGAAGGCAGCTCCCTTCACAGAATCCATTTTGTGAAGGCAGCTCCCTTCACAGAATCCATTTTGTGAAGGCAGCTCCCTTCACAGAATCCATTTTGTGAAGGCAGCTCCCTTCACAGAATCCATTTTGTGAAGGCAGCTCTCTTCACAGAATCCATTTTGTGAAGGCAGCTCCCTTCACAGAATCCCTTTTGTGAAGGCAATTCCCTTCACAGAATAGCTTTTGAGTTCTAAGCTTTGCTTGAGGTTTTGATAGTTTTTCAGCTGTTCAACTGTACCACAATGCATGTCAACTGCTTTGCAAAGTGTGTTCCTGCAGCCGTTTGTGCAAGCTCGAGTTGTTAAATAAGCTTTTTGAAAACCATTTCTAAGGAGGGGCCTGAAACAAGGCCATGAAGAAGCCAGCTGCAGCAGAAGAAGCAAGTGAAAAGGCTGCAGCTGCACCAGTAGCAGCTGAAGCAGAGGTAGCATTTCCATGGGGTTCTGAAGATAGGAAAACTTATCCAAGCAATCAGGAAAGAAGAGAAAACTGGAGAAAACATTATGTTTCCCTCCAGAAATATTATGCTGCCAGGAGTGGCTTGGAAGAAAGCCAGGCATTGCCAGGAAGCGACGGGATGGCAACCCTTTCAGAGGCCAATGCTTTGCAGAAGCTGCTGAGGAGGAAGTTCAGACCACAGATGAGATGGTGGATGCAGAAGCTTCACAAGCCTTCCAACCAAAGGGGAGCCAGGATGGGGTGGAAGGAAAGGAAGAACATGTGAAGCTTGAGCCAAGGGCAGAAAGGGAGGAGCTTGAAACAAGGCCAGCAGGCAAGAATGAGAGGCTTGAGGCACAGCCAGAAGAGCAGCAGGAGGGGCTTAAAACAAGGCCAGCAGGCAAAGATGAATGACAAACTTGAGGCAAAGCCAGAGAAGAAGCAGGAGGGGCTTGAAACAAAGCCAGCAGGCAAAGACGAGGAACTTGAGACAAAGCCAGAAAGAAGCAGAAGGGACTTGAAAAAAGCCAGCAGGGAAGCAGAAGAGGCCTGCAAAAAAGCTAAGCAGTGGCAAAAAAAACACCACCAGAGAAGAAAGCCAAAGAAATTCAAGAGCAACCCAAGAAACAGAAAGAAAGTGATCAAGCAAGCTCCTCACAAAAGGTGGCCAAAAGACCAGCAGCTAAGATGGAAAAATGTGGAGAAACAGCCAAGAAGAGGAAGACTGGCCTTGACAAAGACCAGACAGAGAAGGAAAAAGAGAGGCCCGAAGCAAAGCCAGAAAACCAGCCTGGCCAGGACCAGGGAGAGAATGATGCTAAGGCAGAAGACTTTGCTGAATTGACAGCTGGACAGCTGCTCAGGCATGAGTCTTACATGAATGCTGTGAGAGGCCTGAAAGAAGGCCAGATAACAGAACAGGCATTCCTTGCCATGTTTACCCACAAGCAAAGGCAAGGCTTGTTCAAGATGATGGAAAGCCATAGGTCACCGAGCACGGCTGCAAAATGGAAATCACTACAAGGCACAGGTTCAAACAGCAAAAAGCAAAGCATGCTACTGGCCTTCATCAAAGGAGGCTTGAAAAAAAGCCTGGTCAACTTCAAGCATACTGTGCAGCAGGGCTGGGAAAGCACAAAAACCACTGCCTGGGTATCTTGGAAGCAAAAAACAGATGAGCATGGCAAGGATGAAGCAATCCAAAGACTGAAAGCTGAAGAGGCGTGGAAAAAGGGCCTGAAGCTATGGCAGTTTTTGAAGGTAGAAGAAGAGATAAAAATGGGCAGGAGCGGAAACCAAGCAATGACTGGCTGCTCTAGTGGAGTGGCAACAGAAGAGCAGGGAGAAAAGGTGGCAAGAGCCTTGAAATCTGTCCAGGCTTCTGATGAAGAATTCTTCAATGCTGCTTGGCTTGGAACAAAGCCAAAGAATGCCTGCATGGAAGACTGGCAGCTGACAGAGTCAGAGGATCTGGAAGCAGCCCCACAGCATGAGTCAGAAGATGACATGGAAGTCTTCCTGGCTGGGTGTGGATGGCAGTAGTGCACCGGGAAGGAGGGGCAGAGTTGAGGATGCATCTCCAGAGGCCTGTGAAAAGGCCAAACCTTCAAAGGCCCCTGGCAAAACCACCCAGAAGCCTTCAGAGGCCTGTGAAGAGGCCAAACTTTCAAAGGCCAGGACCGAGGCCTGTGACAAGGCCAAACCTTCAGAGGCCTGTAACACGGCCAAGAAAGTTGAAGAGAAGTTGCAGGAATTCGACAAAAATGTGGATAATTTGTCTTCCTGTGACATGGGCGAAGCCAGGAAGATGGTGTCCTTGTTGGCAGGAGAAATTAAGACTACCAGAGCAATGGCCCAAAAGCATGCTGAACACAAAGGATTGAAACAAAGCCTTCAGAAACTTGAAAAATTGAATGGGGGAAGTTGAGCAGGCAATGGTAGATGAAAAGAAAGAAAAAGCACTGATGGCTTTGCTTGTGAAAGCTGCTAAGTTTTTGAAGACCCACAAGAGGATCTTGCAGTCAGCAGAGGATTGAAATAAAGCCAAGAAAGGCTTGAAATAAGGCCAAGACAGCAGCAGAGACTCTCTACATGGAAAGTTTTGTAGCTTCTGCAGGCGACACACTGGCAGCTAAAGAAAAAGCAGCTGGGCTGGGGTGGCTTGAAAGCACATGGCAATTGGAAGCAGGGCAGCATAGGAGTTAATGCATGTTCATCTGCAAGGGTCTTGGCTCACGGATGGTAGGTGTGAAGCAGAAACTAGAATTGGTCGAAGATGAGAGAAAAAAAAGAGAAGAAGAAGACGTGGTGGCCTGGAACAAGGCCAATCCAAATGCTTGAAAGAAATTGAAAGCAGCCTAGCAAACAGGATGCTAGATTTGTGGGGCAGGGCATGTAAGCCATGGCAGAAGCAGCTATCAAAGATGGCCTGAGACACAAGGATGTGGCAGAGACTGCTTCCCTGGGTAGCAAGGGACCTCCTGAGGCTACTCCAGAAAAAGATTGCCAATGGATCCCTGGGAGGTTCCAGCCAAGGACCAGAAAAATTTGGAGACTGGCCAGACAGAGGCAGAGTTTCACATGTTCTTACCCCCCAGTTGATGGATGCGTGCTTTGGGGTGAGTAAGGCCAAAGAGTTCTGGGATCAGATCAAAGCAGATGACCCAAGGTTGATTGACAGCCCTGTGGCTTGGGAAAAAGACAATCAGCCACAAGAATGGAAGAATCAGAAAGAGAAAACTATCCCACTTTGGCTGCATGGAGGAGTCGACTTCAGCACAGATTCATTGCTGATCTTTTCATTTGGAGGCTGCCTCACCACATTAATAGACATGCAACACAGGCAAACAGGCTTGGAACAAAGCCAAAAAAAATGCTTGGAAAAAGCCAAGGCAGCAAAGAAGGAGGCCTGGAACAAGGCCAAGAAACAAAAGGGGGAGGCTTGAAACAAAGAAAGCCATGTGATTGACCAGCATGGCCCAAGGCAGCCACTGCAGCAGATACTTGGACTGAGGTCTTTGATGTGCTGGCATGGAGCTTTCAAAGCATGTGGAAAAAGGCATCCACCGCACAGAGGATTGGAAAGGGAGACCTGTGAAAGGCACCCTAGCCCGCTTGGCAGGCAAGCCCTCAACAGAGCAAGGTTTCCGATTTTATGTTTGGAATTCCCGGGGGATTTGGAAAAGTATGCCAAGACCCTGAAACTGCCTCATTGGAACAGAAAAGACTTCTGCTGGCTTTGCGATGCCAACAGGACCTGCAAGCACAAAAGCCATTGGGATTTCAGAGACCAACCATCATGGCACTTGCATGATTCCAGAGGCTTGAAAGAAAGCCCCTCCAGTAGCCACCCCTTGTTGACTAAAATTCCAGGCTGCGTGGTTGGCTGGAGGCCTTGTATTGACATTCTACACACTTTGGATTTAGGAGTGAGCCAGAGGCTTTGTGGCAGTGTGCTGCATACCTGGTGCTACCAAGAGGCTTGTGACAAAGCCATGGCAGCCAAGAACATGAGACAAACTTGGAACCAAATCCAAGACAAGTATAAAAGCATGAAAGTAAGCGAAAAATCCACCAATATTTTTCTTTCCCAATTCAGCAATGCTGACCACCCTTGGAGCCAAGCACCACTGCTCAAGGGGAAGGCAGCAAAGATCAGACACTTGGTGCCTGTGCTGGCATCAGTGGCCTGGGATAAGGCCAGTGAGACAGGAGGCTTGAAAGAAAGCCACATAGCAGAATGTCTTCATCACTTGGCCATCTTCTATGACATCGTGGCAAATGCAGACTTTTTCATGACAGAGGATGAGTCTGATGCAGTTCTGCATGCCATGCAGAGATGCTTGCAGCATTATATTTGGCTGCAGGCTCATGTCGCAAAGGACGGCTTGTTCCAGCTGGTACCCAAATTTCATTGGGCATACCATCTAGCTCAGATGTGCAAATACCAGAATCCCAAGACTTTCTGGACATACAGGCAAGAATCTTGGGTAGGCAGACTGGCAACAGTGGCTCATTCTTGCAGCCATGGAACAAGAACACAAAGCTGTCAGAGAGCTTTTGTGAAAAGTATTTGCTAGGCCTGCAGCTCAGGCTCAACCAAAGCTAATGCCATGACCTTGGGCCAGCCAGGTGCTTGAAACAAAGCCAGGCAAGATATGTCGCTTGAAAAAGGGCCAAGCACAAGGCCAAAGGCAAGCTGGAGGCCTGTAAAAAGGCCATGCTTTGATACATATGTCTCGTTTCCTCTGTGTCGCCAGTGCTTGCAGTATGAGCAAAAAGATGTGCATATTGCCTTCCTGCAGCAACAACTACAATTATTAAACTTCTAGATTGAAAAAACAATAATTATTGATTTTTTCAATCTCCATTGCGTTAATTAATTTAATTATTGATTTTTCTTTTCGATCCTTCTTGAAACCGAGATTGTTTTTTTCAATATTTGATTTTCAATCCGGATTGAAAAAATCAATAATTATAGAATTTTTCAGAGAACGAGCAAATGTGGTGGATTTTGATTTTGCCACTTCATGCCACTTCATGCCACTTCAACTGGCGTATGCCACTTCGAGTGGCGTATGCCACTTCGAGTGGCGTATGCCACTTCGAGTGGCGTATGCCCTTTCGAGTGGCGTATGCCACTTCGAGTGGCGTATGCCACTTCGAGTGGCGTGCTGACTGTGTAGCCTTCGCGTTCCGAGTGGCGTATGCCACTTAAAGTGCAAGCTTGAGTACAAAGTAGACTGGACGTGTTTGTGCATCCTTTAGTACAACGTAGACTGAGGTAGTGCTTTGTGCAAGCTTGTAGTACAAAGTAGATACCTGGAAGTGTTTTTGTGCAAACTCTTTGGTGGTACCCCACGTAGTACCTTGGGGACTGCTTGTGCAAGCTTGTAGACAAATAGTACTTGGGGGAGGAGTTTTTTGTGCAAGGCTTGTAGTACAAGGAGCTTGTGTTTGTTCAATTTTGTAGTACAAAGTATTTAGTATGGGAAGGTTTGTGCAAGCTGTAGTACAAAGTAGTACTGGAGCTTGTTTCTGCGCAACTTTGCAGTACACAGTTAGTACTGGGGAGTGCTTGTGCCAGCTTTGTAGTACAAAGTAGTACTGGGAAGTGGTTGTGCAAGCGTGTCGTACAAAGTAGTACGGAAGTGGTTTGTGCTAGCCTTGTAGTACCAAAGGAGTACTGCGGAGTGCTTTGTGCAAGGCTTTGCAAGTACCAAAGTAGTACGGGTGAGTAGTGTGTGCAAGCTTTGTAGTACAAAGTAGTACTGGGAGTTGTTTTGTGAAACTTGTGTATGGTAAAAAGTAGTATGAGCAGTTCTTTGTGCAACTTTGCAAAGTAGTATTGGGAAGTGTTTTGTGCAAGCTTTGTAGTACAAAGTAGTACTGGGAAGTGTTTTGTGCATGCCTTGTAGTACAAAGTAGTACTGCGGAGTGCTTTGTGCAAGCTTTGTAGTACAAAGTAGTACTGCTGGTCCTTTGTGCAACTTTTGTAGTACAAAGTAGTACTGCGGAGTGCTTTGTGCAAGCTTTGTAGTACAAAGTAGTACTGCTGGTCCTTTGTGCAACTTTTGTAGTACAAAGTAGTACTGCGGAGTGCTTTGTGCAAGCTTTGTAGTACAAAGTAGTACTGCTGGTCCTTTGTGCAACTTTTGTAGTACAAAGTAGTACTGGGGACTGCTTTGTGCAAGCTTTGTAGTACAAAGTAGTACTGGGGAGTAGTTTGTGCAAGCTTTGTAGTACAAAGTAGTACTGGGGAGTGCTTTGCGCAAGCTTTGTAGTACAAAGTAGTACTGGGAAGTGGTTTGTGCAAGCTTTGTAGTACAAAGTAGTACTGGGAAGTGTTTTGTGCGAGCCTTGTAGTACAAAGTAGTACTGCGGAGTGTTTTGTCTTTGTAGTACAAAGTAGTACTGGGAAGTAGTTTGTGCAAGCTTTGTAGTACAAAGTAGTACTGGGAGTTGTTTTGTGCAACTCTTGTAGTTCAAAGTAGTACTGGGGAGTGCTTTGCGCAAGCTTTGTAGTACAAAGTAGTACTGGGAAGTGTTTTGTGCAAGCTTTGTAGTACAAAGTAGTACTGGGAAGTGTTTTGTGCGAGCTTTGTAGTACAAAGTAGTACTGCGGAGTGCTTTGTGCAAGCTTTGTAGTACAAAGTAGTACTGGGAAGTGGTTTGTGCAAGATTGTAGTACAAAGTAGTACTGCGGAGTGCTTTGTGCAAGCTTTGTAGTACAAAGTAGTACTGGGAAGTAGTTTGTGCAAGCTTTGTAGTATAAAGTAGTACTGCGGAGTGCTTTGTGCAAGCTTTGTAGTACAAAGTAGTACTGGAACGTGTCTAGTGCAAGCTTTGTAGTACAGATTAGTACTGGGAACTAGTTTTTGCAAGCTTTTGTAGTAGACATCATTACTGGAAAGTACTTGACATGAAAATAGCCAAGAAGAACTTAGCTGACATCTGGGAAGACATGGAATGAGATGAGAAGAGCTCCGATGAGATGAGTTGAGATGAAGTGCAAGTGTGAAGTGTGGAGTGTGGGGTGTGAAGAGTGCAATGTGAAGTCTGAGGAAAGTGTTTGCATTGCACCGGTGTCGCGCGCAGGTCATGTTCTTATGTTCTTGGCCACAACAATACAACAGCTTCGCACAAAGCACGCACGCACAGCCCTGGCTGGAGCACGGCGCATGCAAGGTGCTTAGTCGTAGTACTGGGAAGTGATTCATGGAAGCTTGCGTGACATATGAGAAGAGATGAGATGAGAAGAGATGAGCTGGGTTAAGGTGAGAAGAGCTCAGATGAGATGAAGTGTGGAGTGTGAAGTGTGAGGAGTGCAGTGAGAAGTGTGGGGCGTGAAGAGTGCAGTTTGAAGAGTGAAGTGTGAAGTGTGGACTGTGAAGTTTGAAGTGTGAAGTGCCAAGTGTGCAGTCTTAA